AAGGCGGGCGGATCAGAAGGTTTGTAGAGCATCTGGGCCGTTTAGAATTCCATAGAAATTTATTTAGAATTTTTTGCATTACGGAGAAGAAGGAGGAGGGTATAGGTACAGGTAATGTACGGAAGATATATAATATCTTCGGCAATATACACATTTTAATAGTAGCTACTCTACCTAGCATTGATAGCGTGGTTGTGCGCAGGCTCCTAAGTTCTTGTGGTATGATATCTATTAGGGGTTTAAAGTTTTCTGCATAGAGTTGATTGGTTGTGGAGGTAAGTTTAATCCCCAAATATGGGATACTGTGTTTTTCCCATTTAAAGGGGAATTGTTTTTCAAGGAGAGCTTGGGTCGGTGGAGGAGTATGAAGATTTAAAATTGAAGATTTGGTTTCATTTAGTTTGTAATAAGATACATCTGCATATTTTTGTATGTGTGAGCGTATTGAGGTGAGAGATTTGCAGGGGTTCGTAATCATTAGAATAATGTCGTCCACAAAAAGACTGATTTTGTGTTCTTGCTGAAAAAATTTAATCCCTGAAAAATTAAGTCTGCCTTTCTGATGTTGGGAGATAAGGTTGTGGAGTTTCCGATAAAATTTCAGTTGTTTACTATTAGGGCCATAAACGTTCACTAAGGTGTACGAGATCTCATTAATTAGGCATATCAAGATAATATAGCGCCCTTGCGGGTCAATTATAGTAGTAGAGGTAGGTTTGAAAGAGAGGGCGTCATTGATAGCGATAATAACTCCGTTCTTTTTTTTCCCGTTGGTTGCCATAAATAGTTGAGAGAAACGAGGTAAATACAGCTTCGGGGTTTTTTCCGTGGCAAAATGCGATTCCTGCATGAAGAGTAGGTCAGTATGATATTTCCGGATTTCTCTTGCTAGCATCGATCTCTTAAATGGGGAGTTAAGGCCTCGCACATTAAAGGATTTGATGGTAATCATTTGTAGTTAGGGTCTCGGTTTACAGGCATAGTCGCATTGTTGTTTATTCCGGTGGTAGTCATGGCCGTAAGAAAAAAGTAGTGTGTCAGATGTGAACACTTGTTGGTGCCAGTAGGAGGGATAGAAGAGGATGGAAAAATAACACTAAAAAGAAACTTGCGCATAAAGCAAGTAAACGGTGTTGCTAGGTTTGCTACAACAAAGGTGGGGGAATCAAACAGGATACGACCCCCAAGAGAGTCATATCTATACATAACTGTGAAATTGTAGATCATTTGGTTCAGGCCGATCGCCAGAAGTATAAGAGATTAAAGAACGCCTCCAGGGAAAGAGGACAGGAAATATATCCACGGCTAGTGCAGCTCAGCCCTTCAGGTTGCTTCCATGGTTTGAACGGAACCAGGGTTGTTTTTCTGTGGGTCTGCCGGTAAAATGCTCCAGGTTTTAAGGAAGTCCAGGCCGGCCTCTAGGTTTTTTAATATTATAGATTCTGCCTTGATGGCGCACTATTAGCTTAGTGGGGAATCCCCATTGATAGGCCATATTGTGATTTCTAAGCGCTTTCGTGATTGGTATCATTTTCTTTCTGTTGGCAAGTGTGGCCTTGGATAGATCCACATAAAGGCGCAAATTCATGTGTGAGGATGGTATTGGAGGAGGGTTCCTGGCCGCCATCATAATTCTTTCCTTAATATGGTAGAAGTGTATGCGGACAAGCACATCTCTAGGAATAGTTGCGGACAAGAAAGAAGGCTTAGGTAGGCGATGTGCTCGATCGGTTATAGCCTCTACTTCAGTGAGTGTGGGGATTAGTAGCTTGAAGAAATGATGCAAATATGGAAGTAATGCCTCGTTAGATACCGTTTCAGGAATTCCTCTAATTTTGATGTTATTACGGCGTGAGCGATCTTCCATATCGGCCAATTTGAGATTGATTTGTTCGATATCTAACGCGTGTTCCGCATGGGCATCAATCAAATCATTGTGCGCTTCTACTATATCCGCTATGTTGGTTTCAATATGGCGGATCCTGCGTTCCTGTCTTTGCACCAGAGTAGTAATTTGGGCCAATGGCGCGGAAATATCATTATGCAAAGTTTGGCGCAGTAATGTCAGCATATTCTTCATACAAATTTCAGTTAGCGGTTGGTCAGATACTGGGAATGCATCTAAGTCAGGCATGTTGGAAAGTGGTGGCTGGGGCATAAAGTTTAGGGCCTGGCATGCATCCTCAGGGTCTCTGTCAAGCCGAGGCTTAGATTTTACAGGGCTGCAGTACGTGGGTGACAATGGGGGAGATAACTCACCCGGGTCCCCTGGATATAATTGGTGCCTCAGCCTGGGATCCACAGGCTGGAAGTTGTACTCCCCCTCCTGGCTTCTGCTGTCTCCCTGTGCATCCTCGTGGCGGCCGCCATCTTGGATTCCCGGCTGAACGGCCAGGAAGAAATTCGTCAGTTTCCCTGGTTGCCCCGGGCTTTTTTTCCTGCGGGGCATGTCTAGTGGGCTGCGGGCACCCTCCGTGGACTGCTGTATGGTGTCGGTTTTTCCTGGGGCCGTAGTGTGCCGCGTTAGTGCTGGCGGATGGACGGAGCCGCAGCTACAGAGCGTCCATCTCCGAGCCGGCCGCGCATGCGCCCCTGGATATGTATATTTTTATTTTCCTGGTTTTTTTTTATAAATACAAATTAAGAATTAGAAAACTGCATTTTTTGTACCTTTTCCCATGCAACCTGTACATAGTTTGCACACCTTCATATATTTACCCTAAAACGTGACCAAGAAAATCTGCTGATTAAAATGATATTACATAAGTATGCATGTTATATAATGTATCTGAACGATAAAGCTTTTTATTAGAGGAGAGCTTTCTTCCCCAACGTCAATACTACATTGTGAGCATGCAGGGGCAAAGAAAAAAAACTATTTGTGTAATTTGTTAGCATAACAGTGACCTAAGATTAAGTCAGGTTGATGATTGTACAAATTACCACAGTCATGACCTTTTCACAGAGATGACATTTCTATCAGTTGCATGAGCATTTGATGTCTGTGCAATGAACACAAATGCCATCCAGATTATCCAATATCATTGTTGCAAACTATAGTGGGGGGAGGGGGATATATACAGTATTTTCTGGCATATAAGACTACTTTTTATACTTAAAAATATACCCCAAAAATTGGGGGTCGTCTTATACGCGGGGTATAAAATGTGAACCTTGAGTTTGTTTGGGTTAAGCTGGCTGGATGTGTGTGTAATACTGTACATACAGTATACCGTGCTGAGCCAAGCTGGCTCAAAACAAATGTCCCTATGACAGATTAATCTGTCAGCCCGCTGGATGTGCGGTATATACAGTATACTGCGCTGAGCCAAGCGGTTTCAAAACGTACCGGTACGTCCCTACTGTAATCAGCCCGCTGGATGCATGTATGTACGGTAGCTGCTGCTACATACAGTATACACTGGGCCAATCACGGCGAGTGATGTATTCTACTAATGAATACAAAGCCTGCTCGGATTGGCTGAGTCAGAGAGGTGGGCTGATGATGTCACAACTTTAGCCAATCCGAGCAGGCTTTGTATTCATTCGTAGAATACATCGCTCACCGTGATTGGCCCAGCGTATACTGTATGTAGCCGCAGCTACTGTACATACACACATCCAGCGGGCTGATTACAGTAGGGACGTATCGGTACGTTTTTGAAACAGCTTGGCTCATTATACTGTATATACCACAGTGGTATATACTCAGTATACTGTATATACCGCACATCCAGCGGGCTGACAGAATAATCTGTCATAGAGACATTTGTTTTGAGCCAGCTTGACTCAGCGCGGTATACTGTATGTACATTACTGCACAGCCAGTGGACTGTATATATACTGTATACTGTATGTAGCCGAAGCTACCGTATTATCGCACATCCAGTGGGCTGTATATATAATGTATACTGTATGTAGCCGAAGCTACCGTGTTACCGCACATCCAGCAGTAACCATCTGATTTGGAATTTGATCCATATGATGACTATCTTACAAATGTATCACAAGATGTCATTCATGAACTTATGATGTCAGAGTATGAACATGAGGATTTTGAAGGATTTTAAGTATTGGTAAGTCATTACCATTTCAATAAAAAAAATCTGATGTTTTTAAATGGTGTTGCCTCGGAAGGGGCGTAGTCTTATACGGCAAGTATAGCCCAAAACCTGTGTTTTAACTGGAAAATTAGGGGGTCGCCTTATACACCCAGTCGCCTTATACGCCGGAAAATACTGTAGTATCTTTATATTGCAGTACAACATACTGAGAATATGTAACATCTTTTGAATATGTAATTATCTTTTATGTTCAGATCTAAAACTATTTTTATTAATACTACTAACCCTTCCCCCTCCATGTGCACCAGAGAAAAGAGAGATGTTGTCAAACAACCAGTTAAGTGCCAATTTACTCTTATATAGACTTGGGTATAAGATCAAAAGAAAACCAAGAGATGTATTTAACCTCCCTGGCAGTATGATTATTTCAGATTTTTTTGTGCTCAAAGCGGTACCATTATTTTGCATGGAATTTTGGCGTTTTATATTGTAGGCCTTTAATTTTTAGGAATAACACACTGAAATCTGTCCGAACAAGAGTGTAGTAAACATCTCAGGTATGTTAAAATTTGAAACGCGAAATCATAAATTATAATTTAATAAATAATCATAAAAAATAATAATATAATAATAATAAATTTAATTCAATAATATAATCAAACCAAAAACACTGAAATTTGAAATATAGCGCCAAGTTCGCACATCACTGATCTTAGTCGCAAAATCTTTTTCAGTGTCTGTTGACGAATTTCCCCACAAATCATTATCACTCAATTCTGCAAGTGGTTCTAATTTACTATCGCTGTTCTCTAGCCGGTCTAAAACCGCTTTTGACCTAAAGGGACGCTTTTTGAACACCATGGGCGTTTCTCAGTTTCCAGACAGAAGGAACAGTAAAAATGCAGGCAGGGCACAGGACAAAGCACTAGGGACAAAATGTATGTGAAATGCTTTGATACAGTAATGTTTTACTATGTGATGTTAGTGATTTTAGTGAATGTCACTTTTTGTCATTTTCAAATTTCCCGCTGTTCCGTCCCCGTACGTCCCGACACTCGCAGGGGATGGAACCCAGATGACAGATGCCGGCATCGGCTGGATTACACTGCCGGGGTCACTGCAGGAGGGACATCGCGGGAGTGCAGGACAAGGTAAGTGACCGAGGGATCGTGGAACAGCACCGCATGGTAAGCCCGAGTGTAGCTGGGGGTTACCGCTTGTGGTACTGAAACTTTACCCCGAGCTACACTCGGGAATACCGCCAGGAAGGTTAAAAACAAGCTGCGTATCCTTCCTATATGATCATCTGCTGCACTTTTTTTTTTTTTTATTTTAATCCTTATTACCAATAAACTGATTTTATACCTGCAACATTCCTAGAAGTCTAGGGGGCTCTATTGTGCAGCTGCAGCCAGGGAGGGAAGACTTGCGGCACTGGTCATAAAGAGGAGGCAATGGGTGTCAGATCTTGGTAAGTATGCACCTTTAGCCCTGGTTCACACTGGATCCCACTTTGAAATTGTGTGACTTCACTTGAAGTCACACAATTTCAAAGACGGATGGCAGTGCAACTTCAGGTGCGTGTGTGATATCTGTGTGACTTTTCTAATTAGTGCAACAAGTATAACAAACTTGTATTTTTCACTATGGGGATAGGACAAGAACAATTAGTCAAAAACTAATGAATGTTTTGCTTTGAGTACTGCAAACTTAAAAAAATGCTTTATTTCCATACTGTATTATTAAAATCAAGAAACCTCTAAAAGAAAATGACAACCCCAAAATCACCCTTGAAACAAAAGCCTACTTTTTTAGCAGGAAGCTTTACAGCAAAAATAAAGAAGTTTAACCTAAATTTAAAATAACTGCCCAACATAAAAAATGCCCCCCCCCCAAATAAATGAAAACCCCAAACTTATGCCAAAAAATTGTGTCGCCATACACACTATGTCCGTTCTCGTGGTCTGAAAATGTGGCTGGAGACGGCTTGGTAACACAAAACTGTGAGCTTTACTAGTGTCACCATTGATTGTAAGTGTTTTGAGCTTGTTTTTAAAAATAAACTGATGCAAACCTTTTTCTTCTGCTTTGGATTGGTTTGATATGAGTGGATGATGGACTGTCAATGGTGAAAGTTCCAAGAGGGATTCACTGAGTCTGGATAAGCCGTGTTTCCTAGCTTTATATCTAGATGCACTTTTCCTGGTCACATTGTTTGCCAGCACTATAATCCGGTGGTGGAGCACATACTGTGCATGCAGGTGAAGCATTAATTTTTCCGAATGTAATATATTTTTTTATGTCTTCGTAAGAGACTTTGCACTTTAGATATTTGCACAGTAACAGAGAGCTGGGATTAATAGAACATATTTCAATATGACACTTATATGCAGTTATCAATATCTGCTGCCATGTAGTCATATAAGTACTTAATATTATATGATAGATTGTGCAAGGGTTTTGAAAATTGAAACTGTAGCTGTGCCCTTAGTAAGGAAAACCTAGCCCTGGGAAAATTAAGAAACAGTAAGATGAATGGTATATGACTACAGCAACTGGGGTTCAATTTATTAGAGGATTAACTTTATACTTAGCCCCTGAAACTGTGTTCACACATCTGAATATATGTAGGATGCTTTTTTTTCAAGGTTCTCCATGCATGAAGAAATCTTCACCTTGCTAAATGCAAAAGCATTTTCTTTCTTTCCTTAGTTCACCTGTCAGTAACAAACTTATTTTTTTTTGAAGATTTCCCTATTTTTCTATGTCACGTTTTCCTATGTTTTATCTGTCAACAATCTAGACAGATAAATGTTTTATAGTAGTTTCAAAAAGGAAAAAACAAACAGAAATGTTACATTTATATTTCTTATTTGAACTTTACTGCTTATACCAATAACATACAGCATGCAAACATTATTAAACAATGACCTCATGTGCATATTATACAAAAAAAATATATATTAGATAAATGTAGATTTACCAGAAAAACTGCCAAGTCTTGGTGCAGTCGTGTCTGAGCCATCATATATCTCAAGTGAATCCCAATTGTGCTCTGTTGCAAAACTTAAAACTTGTATCTGTAAAAAAAAAAAAAAACAACCTGTGTTAATTAGTATAGTTAAGATATAGTATGTAGTAAAGTGTCAACAGATCCTAAGATGTCTCTTTTTGTTTTAATCAAGGCTTGCTAAAGTTCAGTGTCAAGGCAGATGTTATAGGAAGAACATTTATACAAGTCTTGGTCTTGGAAAGCAACTAAATACACATTTGAAATGCATACGGGAAAACTGTTTTACCAACCAAAGGATTTGTAATTCTGTGCACACCTGCCAAACAGCACAGCCAGATGCTGGACTTCCAACAACAGCAGGACATCTTAGTGGATAAAACACTTCTCGGCCTACTAAATAGATAATAATGGAGCAACAGCATAGTAACGAGTCATCACTCTGCAAAGACTGCTTTCTTCTGTTAGCATGCTTACTATCAATACATTTGCATGCAGCACAGCCTGATTGAATACTAGTGCTGATTTTCCTTTGCCAGCCTGTATTGAATATTTAGAAATGTGGATAATTATATTATTTATGTTAAAAAAATACATTGTTTTATTTTAAACAAATATATATTATATTTATAATATATATACATTTATAAATATATAAATAAATCATTGTTGTATATCTTCTAGAAGTCTAGTTTCAAGCATTTGAGTAATTTAAAGGAAAGTTGTAATGAAAAAAAGCATATTCTGCAATGCGCGACTTCTTTTAATCATCACAAAAGGCCCCCATCAATGCATAGCATTCACCGCAGAATTTAAGTTTTACTGTGTGACACTTTGCTTATATCTGTCTGACCTGGTGTAGATCAATAAATGGGACCATTATAAAATATCTTAAAAAAGAGTAAACAGTAAATTGTCAAATAAAGGCGGTTTTGCTTCTTTGTTCATATAGTTTACCAAATGTTGATTGTGTTGCTGTGAAAAGCAACAACATTAGCATTATAAGACAGCTTGCAAGTACACAATACAAGCATTGATAGTGGACTATTAAAAAAATCTTAAAAGTTACCAGCATCTGATTTTGTCACCAGGGTCATTTCACTTTTAAATGATTGTTATTTCTGCAGTGAATGTAGGTTAAAGAGAGCACCTACACAGGCCAGTGGGACAGCTATCCAGCTGTTAGTCATGCAGACTATTGCAACAACTGCTGTGATTTCAGGAAACAGCCCAAGAGGTCATTTTATTTGCATTCGCTGAAAAAACACATCATATACTGTAAAACAGCAAGAGCATATTTAAAAACTGCATATATATCATTAAAAAACACTGTCCACTGACTGTGCATATTCTGAATGTTGCAATAGGTTGAAATGTTGTTATCAGTCTACAGCAGCCAGGAAATATTAAAGGCTGTCACTTTTTTCTTAGTGATTCCTTGGATTGTAACACTGTAACTTTATAGCAAGTCACAAGATTCAGGGCAGCAAAAGTGGACTTATCTGTGTTAGGGCTAGTTCACAGTAGCTTTGAAAGCAGGCATTTGAGGGAAGTTTTTAATGCTCCTCAAATGCCTATGGAAATTATACTATGGGCAGCACACAGTGCTGTTCACATTATCAAACCATGAAGGATTAGCGCTGCTTCAATTTTGAAGCCTCATGTTGAGTCAGCAGGAGTTGAAGCCTTTCAATGCCTCCCATTCATATCTATGGCGATGCTCCTCAAACGCCCTGGCAGGTGTTTGTGGGGTGTTAATACCATTAGAGTTTATTATAGGCATTTGTGTTGCGGTTATAACACTTGTAAAATGCCTATAAAATGTCTCAAAACTGCATATAGGGTGTATATAAACTCATTAAAGCCTTAACACCCATACTAACGCTATAGGGGCGTTTTTGAGTTCAAGTGTGAACAAGCCCTTAAGCTGGCCATATTCAGCTAACATTTTTTTATTCAGCCAGTGGAGATTTCTCCTTCCACACAAATGAGGTGGATGAAGGAATTCCTCCCTCTCCCGTAGGACGTTGTATTCTTACAGTGGCACTTGCCACGGTCAGAAAACACTGATTAGCGACTACAGCTAATTCGGTGAAAAAAATTTACCAACATGTCCCTTCCAGGAATGTTAGCCAAATAATTGACTTCTGTGAAGCTGGACATTCTTTGCTAAACCAGTCGAATTTTCATTAGTTTATGACCTGCTATAGACCTGTGTAAACACAGTCCAAAACATAAAGGCTACTGCACAGGCTCCAGAATTTACATGATTGTGCGACCTAGGGGGAAGTACATTTTGATTCTGGGGATTTGTGAACAAGGATGGTGCTGGCCTTCTGAAAAAAAGGAATGATAAAAGCATTGTCAGGAGACATAATGTCACATTTACCCTTAACAATGTTACTTATTTTTGTATACTTGCCTGAATTCCTGATCCTTCAGCCACAATGATTTTCCAAACGCAATTCAAGCTATTGCCATAAGGGTCAGGAAAACCAGGGGATAATAATGTTCCTCTTCTGTCTGTAAAATTTCCACTACAAGGGACTGATAAGATAACAATAAGGTTTAAAGTACAGTATATACCACAGACAGAAAAACAAAGAGATAGTAACAAGTCACTATTTGCACACATGTGTGATTTTATATTTTATTCATTTATCTATTGATATATATTTGTTGTGTGACAATACTCAGATCTGGTTACTGGTCAGTCTGGCACCAAGCACTGCATTGTGGAAGGGCACATTAAATATGTCCCTATTTATCACGGTACTGGGATTTTCAAAAGGGAGGTGTCCATGACTTGTGACTTCAACTTTCTCTATAGAACTTTGGAGACATATCCAGTATAGCTCAAATATAGTTGAACTCCAACCAAATAATTTTTTTCTAGTTTAGTATAGAGTGGGAAAAGGAATAGAACCTGTAGGATTGTTATTGTTGTTTTTATCCCTGTTTAGGGGACCCTTTCTTATCATTTGTCATTGTGACCATTTTGAGGCTTGAGCTATGGACAGGTTGAGCAGCTAGACTGTTATTTTACCAGAGGTTTAGCATTTAAACCCCTTAACACTGGCTGTATAAGTATATGTGGCAGCATGGAGGTGGGCCTTATTGCGGAGCTGCCACATAGTTGCAGTCAGTGACAGCATGGTAAATGTGTGAGCACGATCCAAGAACAAATAATGGAATGCTGGTGGTATGCATATGTTTCCCAGTCTCACCATGTCTCTATGAAGAGATATTATTTTACTTCCTGT